TATATTTTCTTTAGAGATCATACATGACTACTATCAGCTCACTTGGGATAACATTGTCCCAATTCCCGGTGACTTTCCTTGGCACGATGTAAGGTAGGTGCTACTCGAAAAAGAAAATGCTTGGCCACTGCAAACTGAAGAGTGGCATCAGATTGAGCTTACACAATCTATAGCTATATTATGGTTGTTCATCTGCTACAACGTTGAGCCCACCTCACACCAGACCACATACTCTAATTTTAAGGTCAGATTTATATATCACTTCATGATGGGTCATAAGATTGATATAGCGACACTTATCTATGAGCTGATTCTCTCTCTAGGAATATGAGGAGACCATCACCACTCACTGATATTTCCTAGCTTGATCAGTGGAAGCTATAGGAACTCGGGGGGTGTCATTATCCCATTTGGGGAACATTTAGAGTGACCAGCCCCTTCATTAAGCTTACTACATTGGAGGTTTAGGATAGCGCTAAGGTAAAGCATAGAGAGAGAGACAAGAGAGAGCACTGAAGACGGCAGTTGGCTGTGCAAGGCTAGGAGGCTGAGGATGTTGAGATATCTCAAGCACCATCACCACATATAGACGTTGATACTCAGCTACTGAGACATATGTGCGCCACTATGATAGGCTTTAGCTGGGATATCCAGAGTCTTTAGCAAGCCTTTGGGACATGAGTACCGATATGCAGACTGTGAGGAGTGACATGGTGACCATAAGGAATTTCACAGCGAATGCCAGCAGAGAGTCCATAGTGGCAAAAAGAGAGATAAATACCATGACTGGGCACTTGGGTATGTATGTGGGTCGGGTGGACGGTATCCAGTTGAGAGCTAACGAGATGTTGGATCGCTTAGGCGGCCTTGAGATTGAGGTTTGGGATCAGTCCACATTGATTAAGATGGACCAGGCTAACCTGCAGTTTGACATGATGAGATAAATTCTGGCACAGCTACTGACACCAACAAGATGCGGCATGTTGAGACCCAACTTTTCACCACCATCTCTATATTGATCAGGAGAGTATTCTGCCCTCCACCTTTAATGTCTGTTTTGTCTTTGTCTTTCAATTTTGTCTTTAACTAACTTATGTTGTATCAACATTGAGAACAATGTTTTGTATAAGTTTGGGGATGGTATGATCTTCACAACTTTCATCGACGTTTCTGTAGACTTTACATTTTTGTGTGATTGATTTGGGTGAAAATAATATATACAAGCCCTATCTGATTCTCATTCTTTGAAAAAATATATTTTAAACAGTGTTTTGACATCGTTTCAACCACACATTTTTCAATAAAATAATATTACACGTAAATTCAAAAATTTTCCTTATTTTTTAATCACACATTTTTCATCAATATACTATTCAAAAATTCATTCTTATCAAACAGAATGGGGATCAAACAAGGGCATATTAGTTGTCTATTACTTTGGGTGCTTGTGTGCACTTGATAACAAACATAGATCCATGACATGTGCACACATACATACCTACGAGCTAATGTGAAAATGTGAAGTATTATGTTACAATAAGCAATATGAAATGATATGTTATATACAACCCTAGTATTAAACTAACAACTTATATCATTCGATGGAGGTCCAGCTGAATTGGTATATGCGGATTACTTGTATTGGTAAACTGACCCTCCCACTTGAAGAATTACTGTGGAATGATATTCCTTGCTATCTGGGAGAGAGGTCAACAAAATCATTATTGTCCACATGCACATCGATGTATCCAACTTTACCATCAATTATCATAAGCATGGATGTAGATGGTTTTATGGAGGATCCTAGCTTCCTACTTGTCCTAGCATGGTGAACTGATCTGTCCATACTATTCTTCTTTTTCTTCCCCCCACGTTGAAGTTTTGGTTGGATGTGTTAGATAAATTTCCCTTTAGTCATGTTTGGCATTGCCATTTCAATGTTTAACGAGTCCAAGTCACATATTTTCATCTGTCATTCCAAATATATTGAAAATATAATGTTAGCAATACGATAATATACGAAGTATCAATTCTAATGTTGAGTTGTAATAATACATAAGTATACATTTAAAACAATATTGTTATGAATATGTGATATGAGATGTTGCTATGAGACCATGTGTAAATGTGTTCATGAAATATTCATTATGATCAATGACTTATGAATATGTACATGTGACATGCAAATTTGTATTGTAATAATGTTTAAATCTTTAAATTCGAGTTGGAGAAGCATTTAGGTCCTTCTAACTTAGCAGCTGAGAGGTGTCCCCTGCCATCCAATTCTTTATTTGGAGGTACACTCTTGAAATCATTCTAACTACATATCCATTGAGATTAGGAATCGTCTCATAAATCTATACTTGAAATGCTATCAATAGACCTTTTCTTTGTGTTTTCTTCTTTTCTTCATGTTAGGCTAGATATTTCTCTACTAGGAGAATGATGAACCGCGTAATGTGATTTTTTTATTTCTAGTTTTACATTTTGACAATAAAATGCATTCTTTGAGTTTGAATCTTAGCGTGTCAAAAAGTGACTTACCCCATCGGAACATGTCCATCGAATTAAAGTCTTCAACTAATACGAACAAGAAGTGTTAAACAACCTTCTTATAATCTCTTACATATAGATATAAAGTAATGAATGCACTGTACCAAGTGTTCTGACATAACCCCGCAAGCATACGGGTTTGTTGTACAAGTAATAATCGTGATGAGAGAGTTATCGTCCAACAAGGAATAAGACTAATATCTAGTTCAATAGATTTTATTAAATTCGAAATAATAAAAAATCAAAAGAGTTGGTTTGTATGTATTCTATAATAACCCCATGTTTGAATCTCATTAAATTACATTTCATTTTCCCTCTCATATTTTCAACCACACAATCTTTTATAAAATAATATTACGCATAAATCGAAAATTTTTCTTTCTTTTTGACCACTCATTTTTCAAAAAAATAAAATAAAATTATTCCAACCATTTTCATTTTCCAAAAAGGGGGGCCAAACGGGGGCTAGTCCTTAACTAATAAAGAAAATAAAATATTTATCTAATATGTGAATGTTTGTATTGAAATCGTGAATTCCCTATTGCTATGCATTTAGTTCATTTGAGTAAGTCATAAATGCATTCGTAATTTAGTTTAGCTACAATTTCCATCACAAAACACGTACTATTTTTTGATTTCGATTAAGGTCAAGATAAGTAAAATTGAACTAACTCAATATCTGTTGGACAATATTATGAACTCAACATTCCATTATATTACTTGTAAATTCATAATTTAGTAAATTCATGTATTTAAGACAATCGATAATCTACTTATATTCAATATTCATTTTTAAGATATATTAAACTTATGTTTAACACGATCCGATCATATTCTATGTCAAAATTCATATGAAAAACATGCATTGATTTACAGAATTTATCACACGTGATTGCACATGCCATAGATATTATTCTTAATACATATTGTCCATATATTGATTTTTCCACGTTCTAGACTAATTGTGAGTATCCCACACTACAACAACTAACTTACTATCTAATTGGTGATCAAACAATCAAATAGTTCAATAAGGATGCAAAATCAATCAAGAAATACCAAATTAATTGTCTTGAATTAAAATAAACAAATATAAGGATGCAAAATCAATCAAGAAATACCAAATTAATTGTCGTGAATTAAAATAAACAAACAATATGGTTCATTATTTATCCAATACAAAGTATTTTAATCTAGCATATTAATATAAGAAATACAAGAAAAATAAAAGAAAGTCATTACCCGTATCATTAAACTATGAAGAAAATCTAGAAATCTTCAATTGACGCCTTCAAATTCGGAACAAAGCGATGAATTCTTCATTTTTCAATATATATTCTCTTAGTTTTCTCTCAAAAGTCAGCTTACAATATCCTCCATATTTGGTTTGAATGTTTTCTCCTATTTATATGATGCCAATGAGGTTACTAAGAATGATTAAAAAGCTACCTTAATTTCAGTGGTGTATCGTATTGCATTATATAGAGCTTTACAAGATAGTATAAATGGAATACAAATCAATAATTTACAATGAAATGGAAACCGTGTAAATTAACCTCCTTCAATTACGTGATTGGCATTGGCATGCTATGGGAAGATTATGATTGAAGAGTAATATCCTCAATCACAGTATTATTTCCAACACCCCCCCGCAAGCTCAACGTCGGATTTGATCGGACATGGAGCTTGGAACGAAAGAGCTCAAATAGAGGTCGAGGAACACTCTTGGTAAAGATATCAGCAACTTGTAGATGAGATAGGACATATTGTGTATGAAGTTTTCCCGCGACAACAAGCTCACGAAGAAACTGGAAGTCCAATTCAACATGCTTGGCCCGCTTATATGAAATCGGATTGGAGCTTAAAAAAATGGCACTTTTGTTGTCACATAAGAGAGTGGGCTCCAAATGGGTATTTCGAACCAAATACTTACCTGATGGATCTGTTGAGCGCCTTAAAGCCCGCCTTGTTACCAAAGGTTATACACAAGTCCCTGGTCTTGACTATACTGATACTTTTAGTCCCGTAATCAAGGCTACTACTGTTCGGGTTGTACTCTCTCTCGCTATTACACAAAAATGGCCCCTTCATCAACTTGATGTCAAAAATGCATTCCTCAATGGTACTCTTATTGATCAAGTTTATATGGAATAGCCTCCAAGATATATTGATCCTCGCTTTCCAGACCATGTTTGCCAGTTGAAGAAAGCTCTTTATAGTCTCAAACAAGCCCCTCGTGCTTGGTTTCAGCGCTTCAGCTCCTTTATTATTCACCTTGGGTTTTCTTGCAGCCGTGCGGACACATCTCTATTTATCTTTCATCAAAAGTCCGATATTATCTATTTACTTCTTTATGTTGATGATATCATTATTACAAGCAACAATTCTTCACTTCTTGCCCGCTT